AAAAAAAAAAAAAAAAAAAAAAGAGTAATATTGCTAGTACTACAGGGTATGAAGGTAAAAATAGTGGTTCAAAGTAGAGTCCCACAAGTTGAAAGCTTGTGAAGTACCAATTGAGATTGTTGTGCCTCTAAGCAAGAGTACCACAGTTGTTACTAGAAGTCTCTGAATAGGGGGAGTAGCAACTGTCATCAGTTTTTAACTTGGGCAGGAAAGCTTTCCCAATACAGTGTAAAAACATTCTGTTAATACTAAAGTCAAATCTTGACACACACGATACTTGGAAAAATAATTTGTGTAAAATAGAGATTTCCTGTCCTTCATACCTTGGAAATACTGCTATTTTGAAAGATGCAAAAAATAGTTTTTTTGAATTGAAGCTTACAAAAGTGATAGAGACTATGCCAAGGTTTTCAAAGCATGTGTATGGAAAGTTTCTCTTACTTGAGAAATTCCTTCCTGGGGTGAAGAAGTGGGAGATGCAAAGAGTGGTTAAGAAAGAGACGAAGAAGGACTGAATACAGACAATGCAGGTTATGCTTCTACCAGAATTAAGTGTGTTGTAAAATCTAGGATCCTGGTAGAAGTTACTACTCTGCCTGCAGCCTGTGTAGGTATGTCACTGCAGGGTGCACCCAAACTGGCTATCTTTGTGTTTTCAGCATAGACACAGGGCATAATAGCCTGGGATGTGTTGCCCAGAGGGATACAGAAGTGGTAGTTTTGCTGCTGTTGAATATGACTTGTGTCTGTAAATCCCTTTCATGGCTTTTGAAAAATGCAGTTTGTTACAGCCTCATCATCTAAGTGTACTTCTTGGTATCAATACATGGGTAAAACATTTGCTTGATCTTCAGGTCATATTTCATGCATTATTACATTTTTTGCAGCTGATAATTTAATTATTCTGTCAGTGACTGGCACCCAAGCTGAAATGTGTGTGTCTTTTTCTGTTATGCTGATAATAATTCCCAGTAAAAAAATCCGGGATTTTTTGTATGCAGCACAGTTGCCCTTGTAAGGCAGGGTTGTTCTTTCCTTCTGATTTTGATTTTACTTTGAGCATAAGGCAGTCTTAAATCAAGGACAGTGTGCATTAAATGTATGTAGTACCTGTGTACTTCAAAATTAGGTTTTATTTGTTTTCTCCCAACAGCAGTTGGTTAAAGTTGTATTGACCAGGTGTCAGAAAGTCAGCTGGCAATACAAAACATCACTAATAGAGTGTATGGGAAGGTCTTCCTGCTCCATGCCATCAGTGGGTATAAAGTGTAAGGATTTGATTAAGACTGAAACTCCACCTGGATATTTATTGTGGTTTAATATCAGTATATATAACTACAGGTTACAAAGTTCTTACTATCAGAAAACTTGGAAAAATACATGTGACCAGTTGGATTGTAGGAATTGCTTTGTGTTAGAAATATGCAAAGTTATGTTCTTTTGTAAGAGAAAGTAATTTCTGACCAAATTGTTCTGTGTTAATGAGCAATAAAAACATTGATACCCATCTTGCCGATTGAGCTAAAACTTACCTGCAGAGTTGCTAGTATTTTACCGGGGGAAATTCTGAAGTGAGACTAAGTTTGTTTCAAATTGATTCTGTTGCATAGTCAAAGAAATTCTTTTTGAGCCTTGTTTCTTTTTCAGAAAGTCTCAAGGTAGTGTTTTATTTGATACCTTTTAATAGCTTATTAAAGTTGGATGGCTCAAAACCATCTCCAGAATAGTGTTGTAAAACAGAAAGATTAATCAGTGACTTTGGCTGACTGCAGGGGCCTGTCTGGTGCTTGGTTGTGGTGATGTAGCTGTCTAATGTTAATAGATCTTTATGGGATTCAAACTGATTTGGTGGTGCAACATTATTCCCTTCTGACTACTGTGAGAGATCAATCATAGCTGATTTTATTTTAACTTGGTGATCACTATTAAAATTTGTGGACTGATAATAATGAGTTATCAGGTGATGTATTCCCTGATTCCTGTGTCAGTTGAGATAAGGTGTCTAGGTGTGCACAGTATGCATATTTCTTTGTTGTGTAATGATGTGACTCCTAACAGCTTTTCTTTTTGAGAAACAGGTCAAGGAGCTGTGCTGTCAGGCCTGGGCAATGTTTTGAAACTGTGAAAGCTGGAATTAAAAGTCTGGCTTTGGCACCTTCATTAAAACCAAAATCTAATTTGTGCATTGAGAGGTGAGTAAGTCTTTACTTTTAGGAGTAAGAATGGAAGATCCCGTTAGGCTAAAACTGTCTTTGGACTGTTTAGTTATTATGTTCACACCTTGGAGATTTCCATGTCAGATGTTCTGAGTCAGAAAGATTTGCTTTCCTGGTCTAGTCTGTGATCCCATGTTGACCTTCTGTTGTTTTCCTAACCTACTTTTCTTTACATGAAGAATGCAGGTTTTTCAAGTCATAGGAAGCCTTCAGCAACAACTTTGCAAATCATGACCTGTGTTTTTCCTGGATAGTAACAATAACAAAATTATTACTGTACTACTTCAATAAGAGCCAGTTTGGAGATGTTCAGATGTTTCTCTTAATCCTCACTGTTTTGTATAGGGAGGCTTAGGATGGTGGAGTGGCTGCTGCCTATTTACTTCAAGGTAAATGTTTCCATTTGTTTGACAGTGAAAGGGCACTTGCAATATAATAATGAGTTATTTTCTGTTTGAGAATAAGTTAAGTTTCTATAGAAAACTTCCAAGAATATATTACATGAAAGATTAATTAATTTTCTTTGTTATATTTTGTAGTTTCCTGTGTAGTTGTTTCTTTTTTTTCCATTGGATGGCCAGTTCAGACCCTTGTGCTATTAGTTTGGTGTGAAAAATGAGAAAAAAACCCTCAAAAACAACAATTCTCCCAGATTCTTGCAAAGGAAAAGTAATATGGTTGTAAAAACTACTGTTGAGAATTGTGGCTTAAGGATTTTAGCTAATTTGCAGCTTTCTACTGAATAATTTCTAAGTTCTTGAAATAAATGCACTCATCACTTTAGGCTTACGGTGTTTGAGTTACTTCACATAATAAATGTGCAAGTTTTGGCTTGGTTGCTTCTCTGTTAATGCAACTAAGATTCTGATATTTTAATACAAACCTTGGAGTATTGACATTATAATCATTCTATGCTTGAAAGCTACTTACTCCTGGAATAAATTATAAATCAGTAAGTGTCATGAATGACAGAGTAGTAAATGGACAGAGGCACAGCTGAAGTGTTGACTTTACAGCAACTTGCGTTTTTAGTGGTGATTTTGGTGTTACCCTATTACCATGCTCCAAATATTTAGAATATAAAATGCTTTTTTTTGTACTCTGTGCAGTTACCAGATACTACTTGAAGGATATGAGGCTTATATCTGGTAATACAAAATCTTGGTGGCACATCTCTAGGTTATGTTGTGCTTGTTTTACTGAGACCAGCACCTGCACTTCAGGTAGCCTTACAGATGCTCAGAAACATTCATGTTCTCAAGGTGCCACTCAGCTCTTATTTTGAAGTTCAGATCTGTCTGTTGACGTAAATTAAAACTGTACCAGACCCCTAAGGTAGAGCATGACCTCACTGACTTGGACATTTCTGTTCTGGTGCATCCTGAGACCTGACACCACAGTCAGGAGAGGAGAATACGCAGTTGTGGAAAATGCTGATGGTTGTGGACTAAATGTTAAAATCATAGTACAAGCAGTGAAAAACTGAAGTTGAGTGAGGTAGTTTCAAGTTGAACCAGGTTAAAGTTAAGCAAGTTTAATGAAAGTGCACCTGTTACATGCGATTGTGCTGAACCACTTCAATATGTTATGGTGGATTATTTTAAGCAAATGTCTTCTGTCAGAACTCAAACTCTGCAAATTAACTCTTCAGGTGATTTTTAATTTGTGTATTTACAAGCTGATAGTCTTTTGTTTTGCTCTGTTTTGGAATTAAAATTCTTTGCCATTGTCATTTCTGGGTTTTGCAGGTGAATCTAATGATATTTCTGTTTCTCTCTTTTCCAGCATGCCATCAGAAATGCTGATAAAGATATTTTCCTATTTGGATGCTGTGTCCCTATTGTCTGTTGGTTGTGTAAATAGGCAATTCTATCATCTGGCCAATGACAAGTAAGGAAGAGGAGGGCTTAAGTGCTAGTCTTAATTGTGCAGCAGTTGACTTCACCTGTGTTATGAGTCTTTCTAATTTAGTTTCACTGCTGCCAGAGCACTGATGCATGTACATACTGGCAGTTCCTCTGCTGAAAATGTACTGCATAGCTCACAGTACAATGTGTTGTATAGAATTTTAGCTCTGCAAGCTCTTGTCAATTTAATGGGAGGTATGAGATGAAAACTAAATGCAGTGTTTTGAAACGTTGCTGTTCGCGTTTATTTTGTTGTGAAATTTGTTTTTGTACACATGCACCTGCACAAACATTTGGATCAGGCAATCCTTAGTTGTGTGTAGCCAGTAGTTTTGTAGAATCACCATAGCTTTCATAATTTTGAAGTCCTGGTTATTTAGCTCTTTCATCAGGTTTTTGCAGAAGGTTTGATTTAGTCATGTGATTCACTAGTGGATTTTGTTTGTTGCTCTTCCTGTCAAATTTTTGGTGACATAAATGAAAACAAAAGGGGTGAAGATAAATACTGGCACACTTGTACGACATTGCTTACACAGAGTTCACAAATTGATTTTACCAGTATCATGATAATTTTGTGAAAGAATCAAGACAAGAGACCCTGGTTGGTAGATGATAACTAGGGCATCTGAGTATCTTTTTTTTCTAGAATTCTGCTGCCTTAGTGTTTTATAAATGAGCAGATATCTTCCTTTATAGGAAGTTGCTGCATCTGGTAGTAATCCATTTCTCACTTAATTTGCCAGGACTTGGACAGTGAATTGGATAACACTGGCACTGACACCTTTAGAACTGATGAACTTAAAGGCAATGCCATAATCCAGATTTATTTTTTGAAGCTGTCAGCAGGTGCCTGTAGATAAAAATTGTGTAGTTGACACAAATTATATATCTTAATAGATGTTTTCTACTTCAGGTTAGTAAGGTAGGATAAAATCATTGTGGCTGTTTAAGGGAAGCTGATTCATCTGTTTCCATCTCAACCATGTCTGCTTCCATTTCCTAATCTCAACAAAGATTACTGTATGTGCACAAATGGGGTTTGAGGAAGGGAGACTTTCCTTTATCTTGGAGACTGACTGGTTCAGTGGGGCCAGGTCACTTCTTCCTGCTGGATTTCCATGGACCTTTGTGAGTCCCTGAATCTTCAGGAGTTTTAATTTAAGTCCCTCCATATCTCTATGACAAATCGGATTTGCTTTTTTAGGCAGAATATCTCTTTGAGGATACTTCTGCAGCTCTGGTTGTACAGGACACCATCCTTGATGCAACAGGACAATCGTGATACACCTGTGCTGCCTAATGCAGCGCTTTGTCTTTGGTTTCTTCAAATGTCTGCACTTTAACAGTTCCTTGTCACTGATGTCTTCAATGTAATTGTTGAAGGCAAGGAAATGTTTCTGACCCCTCTTTCTGCATCCCTCTTGCCCCAGCATGTTGTATTATTCCAGCTTTCCTGTTAGGCAGTGTGGGAAGCTCACATAAATGGTCTACCTGAAACCCTGAGGGTTTTTTGATCACCAGCAGGAAGTGATTGTCTAAGAGTAAGCAAGAAGCCAGAGAACAGGGGAAGATCTTTTTGCATTACTCAGATCTTTTTGCCATTGTGATCAAGTGGTGACTGACAGTGGTGCCTATCTGATTTCTTGCATTTGATTTAGCAGTAAGAAGTTGAGTTGACTTGTAAAAATGTCCAATAAGAGGCCTTGAGATTAATATTTAACACTTTGAGGCAAAAGTGGCACGTATTCTGCTGTAAAAGAGGAAAATTCATACTTCCCTATTGGATGCCTTTTTGATTCATCTGCCCTGGATTCTTCAGAAGTTGAGGATGAAGGGACAGTGATAACTCGTTAAACACTTGTCATCCCAAGTCCCTCCCCACCTCCTTTTTTTTTTTTTTTTTTCCTCTGCTTCCCTTCTCACAGAATTTCTGAGCAGATTTCTCATCTGCTTGCTCTTTTGGAAAAGAAGGGAGGAGTATGTAACTGAGAGTGAGGAGAGGGGTGGTAGGTATTGGTGACAAGTCTTGTCTCAATTCAACTTAAATTGCCTGAGACTGTTCTTTCAAAATGCAGGAAATGCCTAGTACTAAACCCTGTCCTTTCAGCATCTTGCAGACGGACACTGAGCATCCCTCCCTATGAAAGAAAGGGTGTGTATTGTGGGAAGGGGTTTCTAGTTAACAGGAGAGCATTATAGGAGGACATGTTGCAGGGCTTTTTAGGCTGAATAAGACCAGTGTGATGGTTCATAGCTGTTTCCCCTGATGATGGTGTATCTGCAGAGCAGCAGGCTGGGAGTTTTTTGCCACCTGAGTACATTTGCATCAATGACAAAGAGCTTGACTCCAGGCATTTGGAGACTTGTTCTTAGCGGCTGATGGAAATGAGAGTGGTTTTCATGGGTAGGAGGCATTGTGGGATGGATTCAGTTCTTGAATACTTTAAAGAGGGGAAAAATGCGTTACAAAGTTTGCCTGGGGATAAGTGAGGATGGGTAAGGGTAATCTTGCTGATAAATGGTAGATAAACTATCTTGAGAATTTGTCTGTGTTGCTATTAATTTTCTTTAGTGCAGTTATGCTAGCTCTTTAAAATTAGGTAACTTGTTGGGAACCTTTATTTGCAGATTGTTGTTTGAATTCTTGGATCTTCTTGTACTCAAGATTCCCTGAACTGCCCTAGAGATACCTGGGGTGTGAGGGGTAGAAATGTGACATCATATTTTCCTAACAGGAAAGGATTGAACCCATCATTCCTGTTGCATGTTTCTTTGATCTCTTCAGAAGACAATTCTTCTCTGAGATTTTCAAAAGAGAGTGCAGAGGTGACTGACATGACTGTGGCAGTACAACCAAACATAACTAATTCTACTCATCCTTATCCACCCCTCTGGATCTGTGTAAGAAACCTGAGGGGTCCAGATGTTAAGAAGCATTAAAACATTTTTTACCCTGGCTGATGCTGTATGAAGAGAATACATCATTGTTTTGGGGTGGTCTTTTCAAAAGTAACTGCTTAGTTTTCACTTAAGTCACTGAGTTTGGCTGTACTGTCTCTGAGCTTCATCCTGAGTCCTATATTTTGAGGAAGACAAATAAGACCTAATGTTTCTTTGTTTCCTTATGATAGCTTTCTCTCAGATATGTATCATTTTGTTGTTGTTTTTTTAGTTTTTAAATTTGCTTCGGTGAGTGTCTGTGAAGGAAGTAGCAGCATAAGGGGAAGGAAAGCCTTTTAAAAATCACATACTCTAGTGCGCTGTTGAGAGGTGTAAAACAGTGGGGAGCTGCCAAACATCATCCTACTTCCTAGAACACTAGTCAAACATTTTCTGTATATGTGGTTGAGGTGTTTGTCAACTTTACTGGCCTATTGTAAAACCTAACTGAAAAACTTATTTTTTTTCCACACCTGGTCCTCCCCCCACCACTGGGTAGAGCAGAAAATCGTAAGTGGTGCTCATTTGACATGTATAATCCAGAACAAGAAGTGTGTTTAGAGACTCCATATTATTTGAGATAACCTAATAAACCCATGAGAAATCTAACATCTTTTGGTTTCTGAGCCTTCATGTTTGCAGGAGGGAAACTTGACTTACTCTGAGCTATTGGAGAATGAAAATGGGGAGAAGCATATAACTGTGCCTTTGCATTTTCTTGAGTAGTACTTAGGAGGCTATAGTTTTTGGTCTTCTATAAACTTAATCAAATCCAGTTTGCTGATAATTTAAGATTCTATATTTTTCTGCCAACATTGTGCTCAGTGGTAGCTGAGGCATGCATATAAGAATAATTAAGTAACTGTTCTTTAAATGTATATGATTTTTCTCTTCTATTTTATTTTCAGTGGAATCTGGCTGAAAATCTATTCCAGTTGTTTTCAACCAAAAAGGACAATCTGGAAAATGAAACATGAACAAACTGAAATTGTTTCCTTGGGCTGTGCTGGTCTTCTTGATAGAGAGCCTGGATACTGGAAGAAAAAATACATCTTCAAGCAAATAGCTGCTGTCAAAACTAGAGTAATGCAGCTTGTTAAGCGTGTAGATCCTTATACAGGTCTCCCATGTAAAAACAAAGAAGCTATGAAGTAAGCAATGCCTTGTCACAGAAGATGTTTACTGGAGAACAATGTACAGAATATTAATGGCTTTGGAAATGCTGGGGGGATATGGAAATACAGCTATAAAATATGTATAATAATCAGAAATTACAATGACAGCCTATAAATGACCTAACCTGAGAAACATAAGCAGCAGTTACCAGAAATTTTAAAATTCTGTTGGAAGCATAGATTATTTTTGTCACTTTGAGAATCTTTTTTATTTTTGTTTTTGGTTATGTTTTTCCCCCAAATAACAGAGCCTATGGCTTGAGCTGGATAATTGTTCTAGAGGACAAAAGTGGAAAAGAACATGTAATGGAGAAGAGAAGCCTATCATTTAAGCATACGTCTGTTACTATACTTTGGTATGGTACGAATTGGCCATGCTTGGATGTCTTGTCAACACTAAAGCTATTTGGAGTTATGCCACTTCTTCCTGACAAAAGCAGAGCTCCAAGCAAGAATGGGTGAGTTTTAACATAGATTTTTTTGAGGTTTTTTTTTTTATGTCGCTAGTTGATGTGTCTGTGAGAGATACCCGGCCTTGGTTTGACTCAAGAAGTTAGTTCTTTCTTATGAAGCCTCTTTATAGTATTTCTTCCAAAGTCTGTCTTTCTCTTCATTGGTAGAACTTTTTAGTAAGAAATAGGTATAATCCAGCAAGCTATTGCAGTAATTTTTATGTTAATGTGACTACTGACGTGCAAGATACAAATTGATAGGTCCTGCCTTGGAAAGCTGAATCTAAGGCATAGATACAAGTGAGCATGAGCCCAACATGTAAATCTGGGAGAATTTAATGTGAAGCACTTAGATTGGAAGAGTCCATTGATATTTATGCGACTACAACCAGGTAGTCTATGTTACTAACTTTTTTTTTCTGATAGGTGTATATGTGAGTTTAGGGAACTTTGGCTGCATGTCCAGTATAAGTACATGCATATAAAAAAAATAGTCCACAGCACCATGTGGGCTAGCTATTGTTTTGTGACTTAAATGTCTACAAAATGTTTCCTGGCATTATATTCTGAGAAAAAGTGTTTATATTAAAGGTCTGTATTTGAGGTATGCATGTATTTGGTGGCTGTCAAAAAAATTTTCACGTCTGTGTCTTATGTGTGGTTTTAGTATATGCAGTATCAGCTGTATGCTTCTTCCAAAAAATCCCTAGCAACAGAGTCCCGAAAGGAGAGAATTGTTGTTTACCTACAGAAAAATATGGTTCCTCAAGCACAAGCGAAGTATTTGCCTAAAACAATAAAATCAAGCAAAACCTTTTGTGTAAAGTCTTGCAGTCAAATTATTTGGGAAATGTAGTTGGTTTACCAAGTTGATGATTCATATGTAGGGAATATAGTAAAAGAAAACTTGCAGGCAGTTGGTGTATTTATTTCACAAAATCATAAGTTGTCAGAGCTTGTGAATGCACATGAAGGCAATGATTTCACAAGTATCAGAATGTTACTAATGATGGCAAGACTCTGAGGACCTAGTCCAGGGACTTAAAGATGGGAAGGGTTGATGTCCCATCTCGGCTCCAAATCTTATAGTTCAAAGTGATGTGACAAAGTTCCTGGGGATTGCTGCCTTCCTAGCAGTGTGTAGTGGTAGGTGATACTACTATGATACTTTGGGGGAAAATAAGTACGGTTTTGAACATAATAGGAGCCTAAGTCTGCAAAGGGTTTTAGAATTACTTCTCCATTCTAAACAGGTAATGCAGACTCTTTCTGCCCTCTTTATGCATCATTAGCCAAGAAGGATGCCCGTGAAGTATGAACTTCAGTTAAAGGGTGTTAGGGAGCTAAATTGTTTTAATCACAGGCAAAATCTAGAAATATTTTTTTAAAAAAAAAGCTCCCTCTAACAGAAGCTTTTAGTTTATGTGCAATTTGATCCTTTCCTTGGAATTTGTTTCTGTGCAGGAAAAAAATACCGTTTTAGTAGCTTGTTTCATACTGACAATCTAGTACCAACATAATATTAAAAACAAATTATAAAGTAGTTCTGTGGCTATTTTGCAACAGTGGGCAAGCACAGGAGTTTTTATTCTTTTTTAAGTAGTATGTTAGGCCATCCGGTGGTGGCTTTTGTTTCTTATTGGGTGTTGAGATCCTGCTGGCATGCTGTAGTTATTCATAGAATCATAGAATGGTTTGGGTCAGAAGGGACCTTAAAGATCATCTAGTTCCATACGCCCTGCATGAGCAGGACCACCTCCCACTATATCAGGTTGCTCAGGGCCCCATCCAACCTGGCCTTGAACACTTCTAGGGAGGGGGCATCCACAACCTCCCTGGGCAACTTGTTCCAGCATCTCACCAGCCTCACAGGAAAGAACTTTTTCCTAATATCCAGCCTGAATTCTCCTCTCTTTAGCTTCAGACCATTGCCCCTTGTCCTCCCACTAGACACCTGTGTAAAAGTCCTGCCCCAGCTTTCTTGTATGCCCCTTTCAGATACTGGAAAGTTGCTGTAAGGTCACCACAGAGCCTCCTGTTCTCTAGGCTGAACAACCCCAGCTTCCTCAGCTTGTCTTCATAAGGGACGTGCACCAGCACTCTGATCGTCTTCATGGCTCTCTGCTGGACATGCTCGAGGAGTTCTATGTCCTTCCAATGTTGGGGGCTCCCAACATAAGTGAAGTTTATGGCTGTGGATGCTGAGTGCTTTCAGAACTGTTTTCATCCCATTCTGTTTGTCAGATTTCAGAGTTAATAAATTGAATTGCACTGAACTTTTGCATAAATGAGAAGACATAGTATTGTTGCTACCTTCTGTGTGCTCTTTTCAAAGACCTCGTCGACGTTGCTTAATTGCTGAATACCATCTTGCTAACCTGACTAAAAGTGGTGTAGCAGTTGGTGCCGATAGGCTTGTCCAGCTTTTTAGTCTGAATCCAGGACTCTTAATAGGACTTTGGAAGGTAAGAAGATTTTGTTTCATTACTTTGCTATGACTTGAATAAACAGATTCTTTTGCCTTGTAGTTTGAGATGTAGGCTTTTTGTGTTGGGCTTTGTTAGTTTTTTTTAATATTCCTTTTTAATTTGAATTTTGGAAGACCTTGTCTAAACTTAGAAGAAAGTATAGGTAGGGACACCTACTTGGTGATTTATTGTATTCTAAAGAGCTGTCACAGGATTATCTGTATTTTTTAAAAAAACACTAAAAGTGCAGTTATGAATCATCGTATATTAGATACTGAACTGATCTTTTTTCTGTGTTCAGTTGTATTTATTTTGCAGTCTTCTCATGCCAAATTTTTATATCCTAATGATGTTTTAAATAGAACAGTTTGAGAAGAGATGTGCTTCTTCTCCAACTCATGCCTTGTGCTGTCCCCGTCACTCAAAGTGATGAATTCACACAAGGCAGCTTTGCTAGTTGTTTCCTTTGATCTGCATCACCAGGTAATTGTATTCTGTTCCAGCAGTAGGAACACAGTATAATGTGCCCTTTGCAGGTTATTCAATTCTTGGTATTAAGTGTCTAAGCTAACAGGTTAGTCTTTGTAGGCTGTGTGTAGAGATGGATGTTTTTAAACAACAGTGCAGAACATCTAAAGTAGACTTCTACTGTAAAGGAATCTGTCTTTGCACTGAGTATTCTGGGACCTAGGTGTCTGCCTCAAGTTGCATACAGTTAGGTGCTATGGAAGGCTATCTCAGATGTTCTGCTCTTTACTCTGAATTCCAAGGTGGCAGTCCTTTTTTCCTCCCTCTGCTGTGTTAATGACACAGACTTAAATTATTTGGCACTGGCAAGGAGCTGCCCTCAGGGAGGTTGTGAAGAGTTGTTCAAAGCTGTGTCTCATTTTCAGCTGGAAACTCTTGCTACCTCAAATGTGCACAATCACCAGAAGAATTGCTTAAAACCACAGAAGAAATGTATGTTTCACTTCTTCTTAAAGGTGTCCATTTCATAGGAAGCTTGAGACTGGCTGACCTGCGTGAGCCTATTATGGGTTGTCTCAATTTTAAAAGCTTCAGTAGGTGAACTACCATTTCTTTTGTATCTTCCAAAGTTTATTATATTGGTGTCCCTGTGTTGCTGTCTTTATGGTCTTGCTAGTGTGTAACCCCTTCCCATGCTTGGAAAGAAAATCTTTACCTGAAAATAGTTCAGTCATAACTAAGTTCTACAAAGTTGTCAAGCATCAAGTGCCTCACTCTAGTATATTTTTCCTGCTTGCTTTTCTGAACAGCTGTTCTTAGGTCTTGTGTGGGCAGAGTAACATTAGGCAGTTAACTGTAGATCGGTGTAATAATTGTAAATGCCACACATCTTGTTGTTTTTTTTTTCTCTTAGCTTAGCTGCATAACAGAAATAGTTGATGCTAGTAGTTGTGACAACCAGGGATGGGTTATGTAGGCCTTCTGGTATTTGGAGAGAGAGAGGCTGTGACTCTCTGATTAATAAATCTCTGCCATTATATATTTTATAGCTGTAATCTTGCACTACATAAGTACAGGAGGAGCTAAATAAATGTTGAAGTAGGGAATGACATTTTCTGCTTGGTAACCCAGAGAGATGAAAACAATAGCTGCCCACTTTTCAGGACAGTAATAAAATGCTGGCAATGAATAATTTTGCTCCTGACTTACGTGTTTGCAAATGTAGGACAAAAGCTGAAATTCTAGGATTCTGTGATCTTGAAGTAAATAGATACCTTGGGCTCTTTTTAGTTCTCACATTAGAGCTCAGAAGTTTTCTTTGAGCTATATAGGCCTAGATGTCTTACCATCTTCTGAGTATGTAATCTGGTGTATACATGGGGTTTTACTTTGAAATTAGGTATTTCTATTGAGTGGCTCAGTATTTCTTATTGATGCTAGCAGTCTGCAAATATTTTCTTACATATGAAAATAAGCTCAATGCTTCTGTATTTAGTAAGGCCTGTTTTACTCTATTTAGGTGTCTGTTTTAAAGTGGTAAGTAAATTCATGGGTTCATGAATTGCCACTGATAACTTTTGCCTTGGCATAGCTAGTCTCCCTGCCTTTACCCAAGATACAGAAAAGCTGTGATCTTTTTACATACATTCTGTACTTTGTGAAAACACAATAGCAGTTACAGGAGTCCAAGCATTAAAGTAAGCCATTGTTAACATTATTGCAGTAACTGGCAGGGTAATAAGCAGCAGCATTTATCTATGAATTTTAATGCTCAGGAAGACCTTGTGAAAAAAAAATATTTCCAGATGAAAATACATCTACTTCAATTAACTTTTTAGGGAAAAAATGAAATTGCTTTTGTTATGGCAAGTCTTCATTATCATCAGCTTCTTGAGAGAAGCACTTTGGGTTCTGCTACTGGGTAAGTTTTGGTTTCATCTTTGTGGATAATAAAGATAACCTTTTGAATAAAGTTTCGAATTTTACAGTTAAAATTGACTGCTGTTAAAGAGGTTTATATTTATGCAGTAACTAACTATTCTTCCTTTATATTAATATGACTGTTATAGTAACTATATACAAATCTGTAGAAATATTTTCATGCTAAAAAGGTGCTATTGTTATGCTATAAAGGAGATAATTTAGTCATATGAGTGTACTAGTACTTGCTGTATTGACAATGTCAGAAATACACTGCCTGTATTTTCTCCCTTTTCACAAGCAGTCTTTTTATTCCTTCTACCTATCTGAAAGATATAGAAAAGAGAGACATTGTAGGAAGCAGGAAAATAATCTTCAGCTGTGTAAAAGGGGAAAAAAATCTAGTGACCTGCTGAGGTGCCTACATTTGTCTTTCAGTCCTGTTGAAAAGCTAACTGGCTTTCTTTCCTGTCATGTGTTTGTGTATGTGTGTATATTGCAGTGTATATAATGTATAATACCTGTTTAAACATTGTAAACTCTTTAAAAAGATGGAGTTTATTTAGCTTTAGAGCATTATTTTTGGGATTGATTTCCCCACCCCAGCCCACCCCCTCAGTTTTCTGCTCAGATATTTTTGTATCTACTCGTAGTCTTATGTGCCCACTGTGACTTAGTATGGCTCTTTTCACACAGAAGGTGAGACTTAACACCATCTCTCCTACTACCAGATAGGATCCTATATTGGAGCTGCCCAGTTGCCTCTGGGATTTGGGGTCTTCTGGTGGTTTGTGTGCTGCAGTTTCTCTCTTATGTTAGACATAAGCAAAAGTATTCAATAACTGCTATTCCAGAGAACTGTGTAGCTACTTGGCTTTTAGATTTGTAGTTCAGCTGATGCATTTTTTAATATTTTTTTTTTTCATTAGAAGAGTGCATGTTTTGAGTTCAACAGATGTACCTTGAAAGTTTGACTGCCATATTTTCTGCTTTTGGCTAGGCTAGACAGCTGATAAAAAGTATCAGACAGTTTGAAATAAGTATGATGAACTAGAGATGTTTGATTTTCAAAATCATGAGTAAAAAAAGAGTTCTATATTCTAAGATTTTCCACTCTTATAACCTCTCCTAAGATCATAGTCTTAGTGCCTGGCTATTTACTGTATTATTTCTTTCTATTAAGTCAAACCCTCTTGCTTAATTCTACTATTACTGTTTTTTTAAAGTCCATATGTCTTTCCACCTAATGAACCTGTATTGGATGATATTGACCCAGAGTATGGACTGCATGACTACAGTCTACATCTCGATATGCACGGTGGAAGCTGTACGTATCTGTGTGGAACATTTAAGAGCCTCTTCTGCAGAAAAGGTAGAGCTAACAGAACAGTAATGCCTTTTTTTTAAACTTATCCCTACTGTTACATTTTTCCCCTTATATCCTGTACTGCTGTTTTAAAGCGAGAAACTGAAGTGCATTTTTAAGAGTAAACTGTCTTTTCTTGTTTCTCGTGCCATTTCTTTATAACCGCATGGTGCATTTTGTGGTGTCATAAGCTTGCTCTGTATGAAGTCTGCCTGCTTCTTTATTGGCATAGTGTCAGGCCTGAGATACAAGCTCTGCAGATTGCCAGGATATTTTTGTTTGGTTCAGTGCTGAGTTACTAGTTAAAATAAAAAATTAAATATTTAAATATATTTCTAGAAGACACTGAACTTGAAGATTTAAAGCTTTTATTTATGTCAACTTAATGTTGCCTATTCTGACATCTTTTCATTATGTAACAAACAATTTAAGTGATTTTTTTTAAACTGTGCTGGTTTTTTTTCGTTTCCTAGCAGTTCTTTTAATGATACATAATTGGCCATGCTTGTTGTTCATGTACAGCCCAAATTAATAATTCTAATTGGGTTTTGCCAAATGTATGGGTTATCTCTTGACTTAACACAAAACTGCTTATGGCTACATAGCTGTTTTTCTGTCAGCAGAGAGAGATTAAAATCTTAAACATAAAATTTAGCAATTAAAATTAAACATGGTAGATTTATTATTGCTTTCCAGTATTTTTCTGGTAACAGTAGTAATGAGCCTTCTGTTGATTTCAGAAAATACTGTTTTTGATTAAGACAGTAGAGGGCACTGTTATCAGACTTGAGTACTTTTATTTACAGTGTTAGAAGACATTTCCCCATGACGTTTTTCTTTAAATTCATATTTGATGACTCTGAGAAGTGTTATTTAAACTGTAGCCTTGTGCACGGAATGGAGTGTTGTAATCTTTTGAATTTGAAACATACATGTTTCCAGGTTAATTAAAAGCTACAAGCTTGAAATAAAAGAATACTTAAAAGGGTAACAATTGAGTGAAATTCTATCCATGTAGCAATAGAAATCACTCCTGAGGTATCATTCATTATAGGAATCCTCTTTGTACTCTCAAAAAAATTTTTTCTGTAAGTTGGCCTGAGTGTTAGGTTTTTGGTTCTGGGTTTGGCTTTTTGGTGTTGTGTGTTTGGTTTTTTGTTTGTTTGTTTTGTTTTTTTTTTCTTTTTTTTTCCGCTTTTTTTTTTGTTTTAGGTGAATGTCATATTTTGTTTTTTAAATTAAAATTTTATGCTTGTAGCAATACAGCTGTACAGGAGAAAGCAGTATGCGGCACACTTTCTTTGTTGGTACCACTTTTTTGCCACTAAGAAGCTTGTGCTAAAGATGAAGCTGGTGTTTCTGCAAATTGTAGCAAATTTCCAGGAGCTACTGTTGTGATGCCATCTCACTTTGCTAGTTAGAGAATCTGTTTTATGATCACCAGTGTTTTGGTTTTGTGCCCTTTAGCTGTGTGGCAGCCATTAGACTCTGCTCTCACAGGACATCAGGCAGCTGAAGGCATGGTTCTGCAGACAGTAAGCTCATTTGTCATCTAGTCCCTTCCATGTTAGTTGCACAATAATTCCTTTTGGAAAATGCTTGATTTCCTCTTAATTTTTCTTCAGAAATTATGTAGTGAGGCATCTTATGTCTTTCTGCTGCTACTTACCTGCATGGTAAATTGTTCTTCGCTTCGCTCTTTGTGGTAAACATGGTGTTTCTGAATGTGGCCAACAGTGTAGGATTGTCCAAGCTGCTGTATTTAATAGAATTTTAGAATGGTTTGGGTTGGAAGGGACCTTAAAGATCATCTAGTTCCAGCCTCCCTGCATGGACAGGGACACCTCCCACTAGACCAGGTTGCTCAAAGTGCCATCCACCCTGCCCTTGAACACTTCTAGGGAACAGGCAGCCACAACCTCCCTGGGCAACCTGTTCCAGTGTCTCACCACCCTTACACTAAATAATTTCTTCCTAATGTCTAACCTAAATCTACCCTCTTCCATCTTAAAACCATTACCCCTTGTCCTATCACTACACACCCTGATAAAAAGTCCCTCCCCTTCTCCTGCTCCTTTAGATACTGGAAGACCACTGTAAGGTCTCCTTGGAGCTTTCTCTTCTCCCGGCTGAACAGCCCCAATTCTCTCAGCCTGTCTTTGTAGGAGAGGTGCTCCAGCCCTTGGATTATCTTCGTGGCCCTTCTCTGGACTCATTCCAAGAGCTCTGTGTCCTTCCTTTGTTGAGGACTCCAGAACTGGACACAGTAGTCCAGATGAGGTCTCACAAGTGCAGAGTAGAGGGGCAGAATCATCTTCCTCGACCTGCTGGCCAAGCTTCTTGTAATGCAGCCCCGGACGAAGTTGGCTTTCTGGGCTGCAAGCACACATTGCTGGCTCATGGTGAGCTTTTCATCAGCCAGCACCCCTAGGTCCTTCTCCTCAAGGCTTTTCTCAATCCATTCTCTGCCCAACCTGTATTTATGCTTGGGTTTGCCCCAATCCAGGTGCAGGACCTTGCACTTAGCCTTGTTGAACTTCATGAGGTTGGCATGGGCCCACCTCTCAAGCCTGTCAGGGTTCCTCCGGATGTCATCCCTTCCCTCCAGTGTGTCAACCACACCACTCAGCTCGGTGTTATCGGCACTTGCTGAGGGTGCGCTCAATGCCACTGTCCATGTCACTGACAAAGATGTTAAACAGCACTGGTCCCTGTACCGACCCCTGAGGAGTGGTACTTGTCACTGGTCTCCATCTGGACATCGAGCCATTGATCACTAGTTTCTGAGTACGACCATCCAGCAAATTCCTTATCCATCGAGTGGTCCATCCATCCAATTTTGAAGCCAGGATATCATGCAGGACAGTGTCATCTGCCAGCTCTCTTAGCAGCTGTGAATAGATCATGTTAGGTCCCATGGACTTGCGCATTTTCAGGTTCTTTAGATGGTCTCAAATCTGCCCTTCTCCTATAGTGGCTGTATCTTCGTTTTCCTAGTCCCTGTATCTGCTGTTTGTGACTTGGGCAGTGACAGTGTGGCCAGAGCCCCTGGCGGTGAAGACTGAGGCAGAAAGGTTGTTCATTACCTCAGCCTTCTCCATATCCTTTGTGACAAGGTCTCCTGTTTTCCTTCTGCAGAGGGCCCACATTTTCCCTGTTCTGCCTTTTGTCACTGATGTACTTGTAGAAATCCTTCTTATTGCCCTTGATGTCCCTAAACAGGTTTAACTCTATCTGGCCCTTATCTTTCCTAACCTGATCCCTAGCTTCTTGGACAACTTCTTTGTATTTCTCCCAGGCTGCCCCTCCCTGCTTCCATGCTCTGAAGACTACTTTTTCATCGAAGGTTTCTGTTTTGTTTTTAAGCTCCATTCTAATGATACTTCTTGTCCCTTTCTCTGGAAAGACTCTGAAGCATGTCTCTGACATACTGAGAAATCTTGCTGTTTCTTAAATCTCTACACAATCCAGGGTTATTTTAAAGTATGGATGTGACATGCCAATGGAAGTTTCCACAACTTTGGACATGAATCAATTGTCAGCTGTTATGCCTGGGTTTCACTTGTTTATTTGTTTCCATTAGGAAGCTGTAGACATTCCTAGATATCAGGGAATGCCCATTTGTTATTCTCCAGAGATTAAACTGATTAATTTAGTTCACATTTAGGTTTATTTTTGTTTTCTTTTTTAGTGTTCATTAATGTTGTACTTCATTTTGCTGCTCTGTTTTCAATTCTTTCTGCAAAATTCTTAACATTAAGTAAAAAAGTTGCATCACACATCACTGAACTAAGTGGTTGGAGTATATATGGCTTTAAGTCTTTTTTTCTGTTAATACTTGCACTGCAGTAACTGGCTGATTGCCACTGTGTTTTGGCTTGTTTTTAGCATTTTATTTTATGCTTCCTTCCATTTAAACAGAATAGGTAATACAGTCTTGTTGACAGATAGTGTAGGTTGACTATGCTAAACACTTTCAAATTAAATTGAAAGTATTAAGAAACTTTTCTTATTTTCAGGAACCTCTGACAAGCTTTTCATATGACTCACAGAAGCTATGAATACTATATCTAGCTTTTTAATAAACATTCTTGAAATGTATTTACTTAGGTTTTCAACTTTTTAAGCACAGCTTTGTAGCCATATGGAAGTCTAAGCTTTGGCTTTTCATTTCTGTTCTTTCTTGATTTAAATTGGTGTTTTGTGCTTGCAAAATGCAACAGGGTGATTTTTGTGTTTTTAGAGAGCTTTTAAGATTTGTTTGTAACATATCACATAATGTATTTGAAATGTTTTCTCTTGACCTTGAAGATTGATTTACAAGATTAAATGACAATGGTAAGGCTGGTTGTTGCTACCAGAATTAGTGTTAAGCACAGCCCTCCCTTTGAAAATAACAACCAAATTACAACTTGCAACAACAGCTTGGTTAGGAAAACAAACTCACTTGGGTTTTAGGTAAAATAAATGCCTTTGAACTGTTGGGCTGTTTGTTTTTTTCCCTGGATGTCTGTCAACATGGTATGTATTCTCTGTGCTTGGAAATATTTGCTCCCTATAGCCTATACTGATTAAAGGGCTGCTCTGCTGCTGTATATCTTGCATAAGCTCTGGGTTGTAGATTTTATAGGGGGACAATTAAACAAATTCTAGATCAAGGTGAGGAAAGCCTGTCCAATTTGCTTCCTCTGGGTTTCCCTTGAAATATTTAAGATAGCTTGCTCTGCCCTTTGGTTTCCTTCTGTCATCTAGCTGGGATGAGGGAGTTTTGAAGACATAGCATTTAAACTTCTTGCTAATTTCTAGTCATACTTCCTCTTTTTTTCTGGATATGAGGACTGCAAGGGATCTTTTATATTTTTCTTTAAAAAAAAATATTGATAAAGACTATATTAACTAACCCTTGAATAATTAGCCTTGATATTCCTGATCTGTCACCTATTTCCATTCCGGCTTAAAGTTGAAAAATAACTGCGATAGGGGATCTATAACTTATGCCTTAGCTATGTGACCCATCTAGCAACACAGATGCTCATGTTAGTAATGCATACAATAGGAGTGATGTCCTGGGCTTCATTTATTTATTAGTAGTATGCTTTTTTCCAATCTGTTTTTATTCTATTAAAATTTCCATTTGTTCAGAATGAGGAATAGTTGCTTCCATTCAAATCTGAATTGCAGTAACTTGATAATCCTTCGGAAAAAATGCTTGTTTACTGGTGTTGTTTAAAGTCTATTGTATAAAACTCAGCATTAAATTACTCACTCAGTAAAGCTTGATTATTTATTGAAAATAATTTCTTCTTGAATTAAATCTTGTTATTGGATTTGGTTGCTGAGGTTTGGAATGGAACTGTTTAGGTAGATATTAAATTTAATAGTTTTTTTTTTACTTTGAGCTAAAGCCTGAAAGTGAATTTTGCTTATGTTTTTCTCACAGAATTCTCTGGGACTTCACTGTAAAGACAGTGGGTATCACTGTCTGGAGTGATGCTTTTTCCTTCAACCATGCAAAATACTTTGTTGACATAGTCATGTTGGTTTCACTGTATTCACACTGCTATTCCAGGGAGTGTCTGTACTGAAAAACCTGCTGCTTCTGTCCTCTGTCATGTGTTGGTCTGCTTTGTCCACACAGTAAGTTCTTTGGACTCCTTGCTTGTGAATTATGTTTTTCCAGCATTGGTGTGTGGCCAAGCATCTCTTGGAAAGTGCTTGGCCCTACAGTACTAATTTAGAGAAGTTCCTGGCTTCTATGCTAAACTGTGGGCTGGCTCTCTCTTACTTTGCTTCCAGCTGTCCGCATTCAGCAGTCACCAGGGGAAGACTTGCTGCTCCTTCACACAGGTTTTAGTGCTTTAGCTCAAAGGCAGCCTTTATGATATTGCTTCTTCTGTGTTCAGCCTCATCATGCTACTTGGGCTTGATTGAAGAACCACAGGCAACACACTTATTGTGTTTTTCTCTTTTGCTACTTGTATCTTAAACCTCTACAATCCCCGTCAATTATCATCTTGCCATCCAGGGCCTGCTACTGGATTCCAACAAGCATTTTTTTTTCCTCTGAATTCTTTCTTTCCCTTCCTGTCTCATGCAAGTGCTAGATACTTAGTTCTGTTCTTTGCTTTCATTTGCTCTTTTAAATGAATATCTCTTGTTCAAGGACATTTGTTTAAGGGATGTCCTACCAAAAATCGGCTTTTTTTTAAAATCAGAGACCTTGTTTGTGATGGAATTATAGTTATTTGTAGTAATAAAATTAATAAGAACAATCACAAAGAAATCATAGTAATTCTGTCAAAAATAAAAGTGAGCCTTTGGAAAGCTATATAAAAAAGGAACAAATTCAAATCAAGGCATATTGCTTGTCAGTGTAAACAGTCCTTTCCAGGGAAGATGGACTATTATCCCTACACCCTGTTGTAGAGGGCTGAGTTACCAGACAGGGCAAAGAAAAAAAAAAAAAGAGAGAGAAAGGTTGGATGTACCTTATAATTTATTTCATATGTTATGTATTGAGCTTGACTTTTGGGCTGGCAAGAAATTGAAATGTTGAACATAGAATTTGCTCCCTGCATCCTTGTGTAAATCCTTTGGGTGATATTCAGATTTTTATACTCAAATTTACAAGATTTTAATTTTTTTTCTTTTTTTTTTTTTTAGCTACTGCTTCTGCTGTGGATCATAGGATCAAAGCTCTGAAACTATGATTTAAATTTTCTATAATGTGCTTGGTATCTAGCTGTAGGTGTGTGTCAGGGTTCCTTATTTGTGAGTGGGAGGAAACTTAAGGACTTGGAGAGAAGCAAAGAGAACATTTACAGTGTGCTTGGGATTAGTTTGATTTGTAGTAGTATAATTTTGCATATTAATATTTTCAGGTGACATTGTAAATGGATATTTGAGGCTTACAGTTGTAAGTTTAAAGGACAGTATGAAGCACTCACCTCTAATTGGCACAGTTGGCTTATCCTGGGAAACAGATGTGTTTAAAGGCAATGTAAAGGTCAGTAAGAAATACTTTTTGTTTCTGGAAATGCTTATCTCAAAACAGAATTCTGTTTATGTATCCTAAATATGCTAATTAAAAACATTGTTTTATTTGTGGAAGGTGTCTGTAACTAGAAAAAAACCCTAATTTCAAATATTGCAAAAGTCATGTGAATTTTAGAAAAAAGTTTCATCCTTTCTGTCTTAGAATCTGCATTGAATGATAGACCCATTGTGCACGTTTGATGACTCTAGTACTTTCTGCTCAGCAAAGACGCTGTAACTTTCCAGGACTACTTGGAAATGCTGGACAAAAGATTACGTCGGATGAGCTTTTTGTGGGGGGTTTTGTGTCTTGGTTTTTTTTTTTGTTTTTCGTGTGGGGTTTTTTTGTGGTTTTTGTTGCTGTTTGTTTATTTGTTTGGGTTTTGTGGTTTTTTTGTGTTTTGTGTTGGGTTTTTTTTTGTTTTTTTTTTTGGGGGGGGGGGCGAGTTTGTTGTTTTTTAGCCAGGCAATAAGCCTTGAACCCCTGATGAAATACTTGCAGTTCTGTTGTAGTATGTCTGTTAGAAGCTGTTGCAGAATGTTGAAATGCTGATGGACACAGGCAAAAGCTACAGTCCACATTCATGCGGTCAGCACCTAAGCCCTTGAGTCATGTATGTGGGTCAGCTGGATTAATTGTTTGTATTTTAGAAGGTTTCTCACTCATTCTCTTGTATAAAATGCCTTAAAGAACAATATTAAAGAATGTTTGTGATTAGTTAGAGTTTGCAGTTGTGGTGAAGGCGTGTTTTAAATGTACTTCAGCTGTATGAATATTTCAGAAGTACCAAAAATTCTGATGGCTGTAACTGGAACACTACTGAAAAATTATCTGATTGAACACTCAATTTCAATTTTGGCACTTAGGTTGAAAATAAATAAATAAAACTGTAGTTTCTACTAATCCTGCATAAATGTGGAATGGTATACTGTTTGGTAACATTTTACTCCTAGACATTCACATGCTTGCTTTATAATTTGCAATGTCAGACAGCTTTCCTATGCAATGAGTAATACAAAATGTATCTTAAAACTTAATAATCTACTAGTATCTGTTGGGAACAACTACAGTTGAGTTTGGATTACAGATTTCCATTTAGTCTTCCCTGTCTAATTGCTCGCAGCTTTTTTTTTTTCCTTCTGCAGATTCCTTGTTTGCATAGTGACAAGTTGGTTCACTTTTATTTTTTCTCAGTTTACTAAACTTTTTTGAGTTGGGTGTTTGATTTCAAAAGAGCAACAAATGTTTCCCATGTGTTTTAATAACACTACTGTATGTTGGTAATTAGAAGGAATTCAGGCTAATAAGAAAAAACTTTGAAGGCAAATGTTTGCCATCTTTCTTTAATTGCCATAAATGTTCATTGAGAACCATAATGCAGAATAGGTGCTTTTTTGAGGCTTTTGAATAATTTAAGACTTGAATTAGTTTAGTTTATTTTTTATTGTGTATCCCATTAATTTTGTTCCAGAACTATTTGCATGCTTAAAGTTACTGGGATCTTAGCACATTATAGAATTATAGAATATGATTCATTTGCTTGAAGACCATATGATGGGAGGTAGGAAATGTTGCTGTCGTGTTGGGCAGATATCAGAAAATTAAGGCTCCAGACAGGCCTTATAGTGGCCTTTCAATATATAAAGGGGGCTTATGAGAAGGACTTAGGGAAACTTTTTCTGAAGGATTGTGGTGACAGGGCAAGGGACAATGGTTTGAAACTGAAAGAGAGTAGATTAAAATTGGATATTAGGAATTATTTTTTTTTTCCCTTATTTTATGTTGAGGGTGGTGAGACACTGGAGCAGATTGCCTAGAGAAGTGGGTGTCCACTCCCTGGAAGTGTTCAAGGCCAGATTGGATGGGGCTTTGAGCAACCTCGTCTAGTGGAAGATGTTCCTTTCCACAGCAGGGAGGTTGGACTGAATGATCTTCAAGGGTCCCATCCAACCCAAACTGTTCTATGATTCTATATGATTTATAGTCACTTTGCAGAATTTTTTCTTCCATTAAAATAATGATGAGTAGCACATAAAAATCTGGGAAATTAACTGTCAGAGGAAATGGAGAGCTATGGCTGTAGCCTTTAGTGTAGCTCTGTCTTATGTGCTTACAGCATTTAAGTTATACTGAGTATTTGTTTCTAGGAAAAACTAATTACCCTTTTCTTTTTTAAACCCGTCATTTTGTGGTGAGAGATTGCACATGTCTACATGTAGCTATGGGTAGAATTAAATTTGGCTTTTAACATAAATCTGTCAGACTCTTGAAGTATGTGAAGGCCAAACAATATCAGCCATAGCAGTAGAACATTCCAGTACTTTGAATTTATTTAAATTTTGTCCAGTAGTCTAAGGAAAAAAAAGAAAAGAAAAGGGTTTTTTTGCATTTAATCTTATTTTTTATAAAACATTGGTTGTTGAGGTCTTGAAGTTGGAAGTGGATGGGAAAGAAAAAAACCCCAGTACTCAAGGCCACTCTACTTTACTTTTCCTAATTGGCCTTTGATATACAAGATTTCAGACCAGAAAACAGTAATTATTTATAGCTGGCTTATAAAGTTAATTCTGTGTGTGCATGGCCTGGGGAGTGATCTCTTTGAGTATCTTTACAAACATTCCTGCATCCACTAAATTTAACACCTGAGCTTAAAGTTTGGGTTTTTCCTCGTGTTAAAAGGGCCATAATTATTTGAATGGTAAGTTAACTAATAATTGAGAAACACAGATGACAAAAGCTTTAAATTCAGAAATTGTCTGATTTAGGTTGGGAGTGCTGCCTTCTGTAGCACAGTTTATCTGTAGGTTGCAATTTTGATTTCTGTAGGAAACCTCTGAATACATATTTAGTGCTTTGTGGTTGTCAGCAGAGCACTACAAATTACATTTTGAGTTTTTAGCCTTCATACCAATAATTGCTCTCTGAACCCTTCATATTTTTCCTAAAATCAGGGAGAGATCTACTTACTGTGCCATGGCATAGGGAAATAATTACTTCTGCTTGTGTTTGTAGGACTGCTACATGATGGATGTTACTCTCTTGGAGGAAACTGGAAAGCCCTTCTGGTGTTTCAGTGCCCCAGTCAACATGGAACTGTCTTCCAAGGGATCCAGCCTTTATGACTACATGGGTCAAGTCTATACCACAGACTATGCAGATTCAGAGGGTAAAGTTTGTATTGAGTTGGAATGGCTGGAAGAAACCAAGGAATATTTTATTGTCAGTTTGGTGCTTTACATAAGCACCAAAAAGGTAAATAACTGGTTTGGAACAAATTACTGACTTAATTAGGTAACTAATTTTCTTGCTTTACCACAAAAAAACCCCAAGAAAACACTAGAAACCGCACAAAACTTTTGATGTGAGCAACACTGTTCCTGCAAGTTTTTTAGTAACAAGTGAAATTGCATAATTTTTTAAAATTGACATTGGAGGGATTACAGAGACATGTTGATGTAAATGAATGTTTTACTTCTCTGTTGAACATCACATGTTTAGTCTGTTTCTGGTACTGGGTATATTTTTAGAAATATTTTTTTCTTTATAGATGGTTGTTACTGTGGTTAATGACTTGCTTCTGGTGAGAGCCATACTGTGAAGATGCCTTACCTTACATGAGCTACACCGTTTTTGAGAACATTGACTTTTATGCCTAGTAGTAAAACGGCATGTGGGCTGCTTCCTTCAGATTCTTGAGGGTTATTGATAAATAACAGGTTTTGACAGTTTTGTTGAAGGCAAGTATTCCATTTTCCCCAGAAAAATACTTCAGTTAAATGTACTCAAGTAGAGGATTTAAAAGGTAAACAGTAAATCACAGTATGGCAGTTAATGTGTTTGTTAAGAAAGTTACATATAATACCCGTGCTGAAATTTCTTTAAATTCCTGTCTGTTCTGTTTTCCTGTGTTCTAACCTTCTGTCTGATTTGAGGCTAGATTCTTGCCTCATGTGTGGTCCTATGAATAAATGTCCTAATTATCAACATATCTGAGCCTGTGTCTGCTCTTACTGAATGTATGTAACATTCAATTGATTTGGAAACAATGCCTGTCTGGTACCATTTATCTAATAAAAAGTAATAATAATAAAAAAGAATTAATTTAAGTGCCTAATCCTTCAGATTCCTTGAAGTAACTTTAAGACCAAGTCTTACTTCCTGTATAAAAAAAAAATAATAATGTGATATTTTGACTCCAGTGTCATTACATTGTGTGTTACAAACTACAGCAAATTTATGTAGTCCTACTCTGTTAAGAAAAAACCACTATTTTTGAGTTCTGTGACTTCATGGTAGTGTGTTTGGTGGTTAGCCAGTGTAACAGTTGTGGTCAGCTGCATTCAGTCTCTTTTAGACTGCCGCTGATGACTGGGATCACTTGAAGCAATAATATAAATGTTTTAACAAGTGGACTGGATGCCATATGTCCTGGTTTGAGCCAAGTTGAAGCCAATTTTTTTTTTCTTTTTTCTTTTTTTTCTTTTTTTTTTTTCTTCAGTGAACTCTCTTTTAAGCGGCACACTTACTGAAACTAGCAGCAGGTTTTCCAAATAGTGGACAGATAATGGCCGAATGTTTATAGGTACTTCCAAGAGACCAAGGACACTTTTCTCTGCTAGTTGAATTTGCTACTTTGGACAGTAAAGGAGCAGAAGAGTCTTATCTACAACCCTCTTGTAGAGAGAAGCAGACTAGACAGATGGCAAAATCAGCAAACCAAAGTATTCCATCCATGTATCTCTGTAGGTCTCAGTATAAATCCAGGAATCATGGAAGTCAACTCTCTTCTTCTTTTGCTTTTTTTCTGTCCATGCCTGGCATCCAGGGAGGGCTCTGTTATCATATCACCCCTAGGCCTGTGTATTCCTGACCCTCACAACTCTCCCCCCAGCTCCTGTCTGCTCTGCCACTCTCTCCAGTAGCTTTGGGACATTTCAGAACTGCTCACAGCTCAGGAGATGCCAGGGGAGTTGTTGGGGGTGGGGGGAAGTGATAGGGGTTTGGCACATTCCTGGACATACTGTATGTATTTGTATGTATTTTCTTTCATTATTAGTATTTAATGCTGTCTAGTTTTCAATCTGCAAAGTCTCTCTCCTTATTCTCTCTCTCCTTTCCTCTTTTTCTCTCTCCCCTACCTGTGTGGGAGGGGGAGGGGATTGAGAGCATTGTTGTCACTGGTTTAATTGCTGATCTTGAGTTGAACCGTGGCACCAGAACAACAAAAGTTGAATTTCATGCTGCACAGACAAGTGTCCAGTAAAGATTTTATTTTGCCTGAAGTTACACTTATAGGCACCATCTTTAGCAAGGAAGTCCCATCAGTCTCACCTCTGTGCCTGGCGAGATCACGGAGATGATTCTTCTGGAAACTGTGCTAAGGCATATGGAAAATAAGGAGGTGATCGGTGACAACCAGCAAGGCTTCACCAGGGGCAAATCATGCCTGACAAGGTTGGTGACTTGTGATGGGATTACAGCACTGGTGGATAAGGGAAGAGCAACTGATGCAATTTACCTGGACTTGTGCAAAGCATTTGATGCTGTCCCACATGACATCCTTTTTTCTAAATTGGAGAGACATGGACTTGATTAGTGAGCCACTCAGTTGACAAGGCGTTGGCTGGATGGTTGCACTCAAAGCATTGCAGTAAATGGCTCAATGTCCAAGTGGGGAGCATTGATGAAAGGCATTTCTCAGGGGTTGGTATTGGGACTAGCACTGTTTAGTATTTGTCCGTTTTAGCAACATGGATAGTGGGATTGAATGCACCTTCAGCAAATTTCAGAGGGACTTTGACAGACTTGAGAGGTTGGGCCTGTGCAAGCCAGATGAATCTCAACAAGGCCAGCTGCAAGGTTCTGCACATGGGTGGGGACAGTCCCAAGCACAATTATAGACTGTGGGGAGAATGGTTTGAGAACAGCCCTGAGGAGAAGGGCTTGAGGGTTGCTCAAAAGCTCAATGTGAGCTGGCAATGTGCACTTGCAGTCCAGAAAGCTAACTGCATCACAATAAACATAGCCAGCAGGCTGAGGGAAGGTGATTCTACCCCTCTACTCCATTTTCATGAAACCCCACCTATACTGCTACTGTGTCCAGTTCTGCAGCCTCCAACAGAAGTATGGAGCTGTTGAAGCAAGTTCAGAGAAGAGCCACAAAAATAACAGGAGGGCTAGAACATGTCTTCTGCAAAGACAGGATGAGAGAGTTGGGGTTGTTCAATCTGGAAAAGAATAGACTTCAGGAAGACCTTAGTGTGGCCTTCCAGTACCTGAAGGGGACCTTCAGGAAAGCTGGGAGGAGACTTTTTACAAAGGCATGTAGTGAGAGGAAGAGGAAGAATGGTTTCAAACTGAAAGAGGGTAGATTAGATTAGGAAGAAATTATTTCCTGTGAAGGTGGTATGAAACACTGGAGCCGGTTGCCCAGGGAAGTTGTGGCTGCCCATTCCCTGGAAGTGTTCAAGGGCAGGTTGGATGGGACTTTGAGCAACCTGGTCTAGTGGGAGGTGTCTGTGGCAGAGAGGTTGGAACTAGATGATCTTAAGGTGCTTTCCAACCCAAACCATTCTGATTGTATGAGAAAGAGAGTAACCACCAAAGACCTTTAAATGTTTAAGTACTCTACAAGAGTAATATTTTTTAAAGGGCAATTTACCTGGTAGGCAAGCATAAAAACAGTCCTTACTTTTTTTTAATTGCAAATATAATAGTGCTCATTTAACTTAATGAGTTTAAATTGCATTGAAAAGGAATCAGTATGAAAGAGTGATTTAATGAGAGGGCTTTTATGAGATTATTCCAACAGTGAAGGAGTTGTCTTTTTAATAGAACTACATATAAATGTTAATTCTACCATTTGTCATTCCTTTACTAGATGTCTGCTGTGTACCTAAGTTTTGCCATGTTCTGTGTTCTTGATTTTGTATTTTTGTTTTTTGGAAGAGGTAGTTGTAAATGGAAGATGTCTTCAATGAACAATTCAGTAATATTCTTGGCAGCTTAATGTAATCTTCAGTTGATACATGCTGGAACTGTGTTGGTTTATATAAAACCTGAAGAATTTGCCTTAATTTTAACACTGTCACTCTGGAGTCATTTCTTTTTACTGCAGTTGACTTCCTTGAGTGAAGAACTAATAGCAGTTACGTATTTCCAAAGTCTTGGTACTGTAAACTAGCAACCATGGTATTTTTCTTCAAACTGGCTTTTCAGTTGCTTTGGTTTTTTTTCCCATCTCTTTGCAATTGCTATTAGTGAACCAGCTCAGGTTTCATAATGCATTTCTGTTCATGCACTTTTCTTACACATGATTGAATACAGAAATCTGTCACATGGTGGATGGCCTCATCACAGATATTTTTTTCCATGCCTGGCCTCTTGCTCCCTATTTAGCAGGCATGTTTTGATTTTTTGTGATATGCATTTGTCTATTAGATATTTAGGTATAGTGTTGGCTTAAACAAGCGTTGTCTGTGTTTTTTGGTTTTTTTAAATAAATTCAGCTACATGGCTATCTGATGCTGATAACAATACAAAAGGCAAAAATATATTTATAATATAATAATGATGACATGAGCTGAAATAGATTTCAGATTAACATGTTTCAGATTAAGAATCTAGACAAGTGATCAAGTTGTGTATCTTAAGTATATCTTAAGGAGTTACTGTCCAGCAACATACAGTAGTATGTTGCCTACCTTGTGTTTTCAAGGTGTTCCAACACATTAAAACAATAAGATTTAGGAAAAAGCATTTGCTCTTCTGCCTGTCTGGCATATTACAACAGCTTAGCTGATATACAGTTGCTCACTAAGTTGTGATAAATGAATCTGAGCTCAAGTGTAACTGCATTAGAAACTGCAGAGATAAAACAGTATTTTGAGACACTAAAATGAGAACAAGCAATGGGTTTTAATCCCAGTTTGTGGGTAGTAGGTTGGAAGGCCCTTAATGTGAAAAATTCTCTCATTGTTTCCTGTCTCTTTCTTCCACCATAAATCAAAACGTGAAATGGTGACAATAAGGATAACTACTGAGTTGTGTGTGATGAGGAAAGGTTTATTGTACTGAATGTCAGTGTTGCTTATTCTGTTCTTACTTCAAATTTTAAACTATTTGGGAGTCTTCTTCATTCTGTGCCTCTTTTGAAATGTCCATGAAAAAGGAGTAATGTTACTTTGTATTAATGCTAATACAGTTGTAGAAGTAGGTTTTTAAGGGTGGAATATTTGTGTGTGAGGAAAGACAGAACTATCTTTAGTAAGTAGTAGAAGTAG